CGTCATTATCATTGCTTCTGTTTATTTTTGTCGAAATGATTTCCATAATGCACTCGCTGATAAGAACTTGAGGTGACATGTCATAACAGTAGACAATTGATTTTTATTAATAATAATAATAATGAAACTAGTGATCATATTGTGGAAGAAATTAGATAATCGATTCAATTCAAATAAATTAATTAATAGTAGAATTTTCAAGATAATCATTGAAAACAATCAAATTTTCTAAGAGATCCACATGAGGTAATATTTACTTCTGTGCTTGTTTAGATCCTTTTCACATCATCAATGTTTTTAAGAATTCAATGGTCTTGTGCCGTTTAAATACAAGTAGGCCTTGAAAACTGTAATAACAATAACAATTGAAAACTTACAACAGTAGTTTCATTTTCATCAAGATTTCATTTCATTTCATTATCAAATCAAGTTCGATGTTTATCCTCTTTTTTATTGATGCGATTTCTGCAACATTTCCTAAGAACTTGAAGTAACATGATGTGGATAATAGACAACACATTTTCTTAGTGACGGCAATAATGAAATTCGTTGTATGGTAGAAAAAAATAGATGTCATATACACAGGAATTCTTAATTTTTAAAATAGATATAAAAAGAAAGAGAATTTTGTGAATATTCTCCGTATTATATTAGATTAATTTTATATCTGGTCTTGCTTTCTATTCTGTTTTTAATCTTAATTTTATATATTCCAATAATACATATTTTATTATTATTTTAAAGATTTTATATTAGCTATAAATATGATGGCTGAAAACAGTATAGAAAGAAAGACATGATAAAAAACGATATATAATGATAATATAAAATAGGTCTATAATATTCAAGTTCTCAACAATAGTTGGATGTATTTTATGTTCTTGAGATATTTTATATTCTTGAGATCTTTTTTATTTGTAATTCTATTTTATTTTGGAAAATCTATAAGATACATATAACAAATATCATTGATTTAAGATGTTAATTTCATAAATTTAAGTCTATCATAAAGATAAAAGACCATATCAAATTTACATTTGTCTTATAAACTTTCATGGACTTAATATGTAATGCATTTAATAGCTACGTAACTTCCCAGTCAGCAAAATGTTAGCAAAATGTTAGCAAACTGGCAACAGATTTAATCAGAAAATGTTAGCAAACTGACTTCATCTGAGATCTCATTCTGCTTACATTCTGTTGATAAAACCTGTTGACATTCTGTGACAGCAGATTGACAGCAGAAATTGAGCAGATCCTGCCATCAAATTGTGTCGCGCAGGTCCTGTTCGCTTTCTGCCGCCAATTTGACAGCAGACTGCAGCAGGGTCTGCTCGATTTCTGCTATCAATCTGCTGGCACAGAATGTCAACAGATTCTGTCAGGTTTCTGGCAGCAGATTGCTAACATTGTTGCAGACATTACAGAATCTGTTAGCAATCTGTTTAGCTTTATAACAGCAGAAATTTATAACAGACTTTGCGCATAATCTGTCCTTTCAGGTTTGGCTATCGAGGTTGCTTAGATTATTAATATTTCATTTATGCTATTAAGATCTAATTATTACATTTGTGAGGATCCAAATTACTTTGATGAACATTTACGTTTTTGTTTAACAGTATTATTTATAACACAATGTGTGTTTTTTTAATTAAAAAGAGATGTAACGATATCGTAATATCACTTTTTAAGTCAACATCATTTAATTGCGATCTCTGAGATAATCTCATCAAGATAAAAATTAGACGGTATATTGTTAATATACACCTGTGTAAATATTGCGATATGTATATAAATTATACCAAATCCATTTGCTATCACTGTGTTTTTTTAAAATTCGTCAGACACGGTGTGGAAACAGATAGCTACGCAATGAAACAATTGGCGTGTATTTTGATCGCATTAGCGATCGTGGGTAAGTTAACTTTATTAAACAATTTAATAACACATAAGTTAGTAATAAATCGTGTACAATTAGTTAAATTACATTTTATTAATTTATATATAAAAGCATAATGTAAAATATTTTGAATTTTATGCATATATATTTAAATTTCATAATTTGTAATACATTTATGATATATTTAATCTTATCAAGCGCTATTCTTGTTATATTCCTATATATTCCTATTATTTTATTATATTTCTGTATTATACTATATTGTTCTTATTATATTTCTATATTCTATAATATTATTTCTATTATTGTATTAATTTTATAAAATTTGAAACAAATTCTACCTCTATAAGAATATGTTACGAAAAAGACATAAAATTGAATAAATTTAAAAAAATAAGATTAGCTAAAATTTTTTGTAAACAATATGAAATATGTAAACAATTTAGTCTTAATGATTGGTAACAATATCTTGATATGATCTACAATTTCCACAATTTTATAGTCAAGATTTATTGTGTCATCAAAGTACTTTTAAAAAGATTGTTAGACATGATACGAATAACTTTGTACGAAAACTATTTTCATCATGTATTCATAACATGAAGGCACTTCACAGGTGTTTATGGAGAGGATCCAGAGAAATTAGTAAATGGATATCCCGTCAATATAGAAGATAATCCGCAATGTGTTTCCATTCAAGTCAGAGGCAGTCACTTTTGTGGTGGTAGCATAATCTCTGACCGTTACATCCTAACTGCCGGACATTGCGTAGACGGTTTAAATCCCTATAGATTGCCTTCTGCAGTCGTTGTTACTGGCACATCTCGGCTCAGTTCAGGTGGACAATCTTTTAAAATTAAAAGGATGGTCCTTCACGAAAATTATAATGCAAGAACTATGGATGGCTATGACATTGGTTTGATTGAGGTACAATCTTAAAGTTGCATATATATTATACTACTTGTTACATATTTACATTTGGTAAATTTGTAATGCACACGTTAGTTATATTTCTACTCATCATATCAATAATACAGAATTGTTAAATGATTCTAATTTATTATAGTCTATTATTTATAATTTATTATACTCTATTTATTATATTATGTACTTTATATATATTCTCTCTCTATACATATTTACTCTAATTAATTATTTCAATCTGACTTATTATTATAAAATGTTTTTAGTTAGCGACTCCCATTCAGTTCAATGCAAGGCAAAGGCCAGTTTGTCTAACAACGAGGCGTGCGGCGCAGAATGATCCAGTGAAAATAACAGCTTGGGGTTCTACAGGCTACAGACAAAACGTACATGACGATTTGCGACAATTGACAGCTGTCGTTATGCCTCCTAACGTCTGTCGACCTTATCATCAAAGGATTATGTCCATTAACGAGAAAGAGTTCTGCACTCTCATCAGATCCGGAACTGGAGCGTGCAATGTATGTAATCCATCCTATCACAACATTAATATAATTTCATTGTTGCACATTTTCTTTAGATTTAACGTTCTCTATTATATTATTTCCTTTTATATGTGCATAGGTTTTTAATATATTTTAAAATTACTCTTATTTAATTGAGTTATATCATCCATCTTATAATATTGTATCCTATTTAAGATAATGTACATCACGATTAATTCATGTCTATAATAACACTATTTTTCAAAGCAGAATTCTTATTTTATCATGTAACAATAAAATTAGATAGATTCCATTATTTTCTTTATCGCTACAATTGTTCTTCAAAGTAATGCTACGTCGTTGTAATGCTACTAATTAAGTATGTCAATGTTTTATGCGATCTAATGCGTAAGATGCCAATCTAATTAATTAAAAATAGTATGGTCATTTTAATTTTTTGGAATTGCAGGGTGACAGCGGTAGCGGAGTGGTTCGAACCACCGATGGATGTATCATTGGTCTTGTATC